GAGAGTTGGAGGGGAGAGTCGTGCGCCCCTGAAGCAGGGGCGAGGGGATTAGAGTCGGAGGTGAAAGTCGGAGGTGAGAGTCGTGCGCCAATGAAGGGTCAGAACCTATAGAGAATAGTATTCAATATTGCATATATAGCAGAAATAATATATTATTTTTCAAACTTCTTTTGTTAATAACTCTTTAACGAAGGACGACAGCTAAAACTTGATGGAGGTTACTCAGAGTCATGACCTTGACAACATATGTCAAGGCCAAGGTCATAGGAGGGGGGTCCCCTATTCTGTAGAATTACCTAATATACATATACATATATAAATACAAAGAGAATATGTGTGTTATACCGGGGTGTTTCAGACCACCTGTACTATCCTTTTATCCTCGCGGGATAAGGTCCAATCAGAAAAATGTTCTGACAAAAGTTGTATGATTTAAAAAGATCAATTTATTGATCTTATTAGTTTGACCTTGAATGACGTTTCCAAAATCAGATCAAGAAAACGTCGATTTTTTAAAATGAAAACCTCCATTTTGTATTGCATATTCTTGTAGGTTATCTCAAAAGCTTTTTAAAACACTACAACAAAATATTTTTTTATTAAGTATTTTTTGAGCTATAAGGCTTGAAAGTTATAGTACCTTCGGCATTTGGTTGTGCACTGAGAAAAATATCCAATGCTTTTGATCGGAAATAAACGTTCTAGTGCTTTTTCCGATCAATTTTGATCGGATTCAGGATGATCCGATGAAGTGACAAACACCTTTATCCGATGAAATGTAATTTCCGATTACATATGAACGGAATATGAACCGCCATATGCCTATCCGTTGAAATTTCATCGAATAAACCTACAACTTGATCGGTCATTAGACTCGAACGGATAAAAAGAGAGTATTTTATCCGATCAAGTTTGATATCCGATCAATTAAAAGGCAATGGCCAATCACAGAATAGTTGGTCGCGTGATCAGCGACTTTTCCCATAGTCTCTAGGCTGATGGCATTACTTTTATGTTAAGGTTAAGCGAACACGTGTCTCTAGTGCGAATATCTATGATTTTTATTACGTGTCTCTATTTGATATTACGCGTTCGTTCTTATTCTTCGCTGCATAAACTGCAATATCATTGCAGTATCGAAAAGAAGTGTGTGAGACGATGAAATT